CCAGTTGGGGGCTCCGATAGGGGTCGGATGTTGGCATAGGACCTCAAGGCGGCCTCCTCCGGTCGTCAGCCCGGTATCGCTGGACGCGTTGGACAAAAGGCAGCCCCAAACGCGAGAGAGTTGCGGAATTTAGAATAAAATCCGCATTTTAAGTCGACATTTTCGTATTTTGGCCCAGTTTGGGTGCGTAGATGCCCGAAACTGCTCCGAATAGACCCCTCGATGGTGAATCTACCGGTCTCGATCCCAAGGAACATGTTAGTTGCGACTCTCGAGGCCGGCACTTCCACTTTAGCCGACCCGATTCGCCGAAAATATGCCTATTTTACGGCCGCTCGACGAGCCTCGAAACAAAGAATACGGCTTTTCGGGCACTTCTGGTGCCAAAAACCTATGGCTAGATGGCATCACGGACAGCCCCATCGACGGAACCAACCTCCTAGAGCCGCCGGTCGAAGCCTCTCGACTCAAAACTGCCGCCGTAGGGCCGGTTCCGTGCCTCGAGATCCGCCTCGTACTCGATTCGGGCCCCCGCCGACCCGTAGGTGGTCGAGATTCCTGTGTTATTTGGTGCGGCTAGTCGCCCACGCCCCCGGGGGGCTTCGATCCGCCGAGAGGACGAGAAGAGACGACTCAAAACGACCGACGTGGCATCGATTCGGAGCCCCGAGATACGGCCCGTTCGCGAGTACGGGCCCCGCCGGTCCGTAGACGGTCGGGATTCCTGCGTCTTTTTGTGCGGCGAGTCGCCCCCGCCCCCCGGGGGCTCCGACCCGTCGAAAGAACGAGGAGAGACGACTCAAAACGACCGACGTGGCATCGACTCGTGATCGAGCGCGGCGCGTCCGCCGCGGCCTCGCCGAGGATGGGCTCCGTCGAAGCTCGTTCAAGGGGCAGAGAGGGGGGGGGGGGGGGGTCCCCCTGCCGGCCGCAGGGCCCCCCAAGGGGGGGGGAGGGGGGTCCCCCGGAAGCCCAAAACCCCCCTCTGGGCCCCCCGGGGGTGGCAAAAAAATAAAACCCAG